GCTGCTGGGTCCAGGACTCGAACCACGGACAACTACATGGGAATCCAGCAACATAACCATTACACCATCTACTAGTTCCTAAGTCTCTTTTTTATTTCACTTTATAATGACTAATTTAAGCTTTCAAAACCTATCCTGGAGAGACCAGCAGACGGTGTAATGGTTACATCGCTGGACTCCAACGTAGTGGACTGATCTAGAGGCTTAAAACTCATACCAGGCATGTGTGCATGTGTGCCCAAGATCCCGATAGAAAGGGGGAGAAGGGATTTCGGTGTGGCCATCCCCCCTGGGGGGGGTGATTTCTCGCTTTCTGTCTCTCTGTCTCTGTCTTTCAAGCAAGTGTACGTGCCCTATAGCAAAAATCTCTCTTTAAAAAGGCTTAAAATAATCATAATAAAGTGAAATTTTAAAATGAAATAGATTTATAAGATACTGTGAAAGCGGAAATGCCAACACTTAGTTCAAGATTGCCTGTGGAAAGTGAGCAAGGGAAGTCTGCTGGAGTGAAACTCATAGATCAGCAAAGAGAATGTAACAGAAGGATGCTCAGAGAGCCCCACACTGCAGATGTTTTAAACTGGATCTTGAACATTGAATAGGAGTTGAGGCAGAGAAGGGTGAAGTCATCCTTAGCAGACAGAATAAATTCATACAGACACATACATGTGTAAAAGGATTTGGGTTGTTTGCGGAAATCTTAAAATCCTGGAGCATAAGTTATACAGTGAGAAACTGGGAAGAAGAACCCAAATATGAGCAGAGATTAAATGTGAAGGTGCAGAATACCAAGCTAAAAAGTTTAGGCTTTGTCTTATTAGAAATACAAGTCAGGGGCCAGCAGATGGCCTGGTGGTTAAGGCAGTAGACTCCCACATGGCCAGCTATTGTTCAAGTCCTAGGCCTGGTGGCTTTTTATCCCTCTCTTATGAGCACATGTGCCCTGCAGCAAAATTTTAAAATGCTAATAATGATAAATAAAATTAAATAATTCTTAATAAAGAAATAAATATTGGAAAAAAGAAAGAAAGAAATACAAGTCAAGCCAGCAGATGGTGTGGAGGTTAAGGCTACTGGATCCTACATCCAGTTGTAGGCTGACTGCACAGTTCTAGTCCTGAACCTGTTGGCTCAAAAATCATGTCAAGCATATTTGTATGTGTGCCTAAAATCATGACAGGAGAATGAAGGAGAAGGAGTTGTGGTGTGGTCATACTTCCTAGGGGCTTTTTTCACTTTTTTTCTCTCTTACTGTCTTGTTCTTTTAAAATCATGCACCTTAAACATTTATATTATAAAATGATATGATCAAAATGACCAGAGAGAGAGAGAAAGAAAGTAGGAAAGTAAGAAAGCAAGCTGCCACATCCAGGATTTGAACCACGATGGACCATGGGAGAAGCCAGCACCATACCCCCTGCTGGTCTCCTATCAAATAATCATTATTATCCCACCTGAAATGAGTAATTAAATATATCTGCCCAAATGTTTATGTATTTGATTCCAGTTGCTGCCCTAGCCCTTTGTGGGGAAAATAGATCATATATTACATATTATACATTAAATGTAGGTAATATGTAATATACATGTACATGCTATATATAATGAATAAAATTTTTTTCTTAAGATTAAAAAAAAAATCAGGACCCAGTTTCAGTGACACAAATGGTAGCTAGATAAGACTGTAGCCACAATGGAGGCTTTGGTTCCTGGACCAACTTGAACAGGCCAGGTACAGTGGTGAGATTTTATATATATATATATGTAAAATTTGAGGGACCGGCAGTTGTTGTAATGGCTATGTTGCTGGACTCCCATGTAGTCAAGCGCGGTGTGAGTCCCAGACCCCGTGGCTTAAAATCATGCCAGGCATGTGTGCATGCGTGCCCAAGATTCTGAGAGGAGAATGGAGAAGGGATTATGATGTGGCCATCCCTTCGGGGTGATTTCTCGCTTTCTGTCTCTGTCTTTCTGGCGAGTGCACACACCCTATAGCAAAAACCTCTCCCAAAAACTAAAATTAAATTTAAAAATCTTAAACATGTATAGCCCTAAGGATTTGAGGTAAGGGACCGTGAGCCTCTGAAAGCCCAAACCAAAAGGGTGAAGAGCATGGAGTCAATCTGGAGCAGGCTGAGTTTAATGCCTCTATGACATCTCTCATGGAGACATCATGAAGAAATTTGGAAATATAAGTCTGGGGCATGGGAGACATATTGAAGCAGCCCTCTTGATCCCAAGGATCTTCTGGCCAATGCCCGAACCCCACAATATCACACAATGGCAGTTCTCAGTCAAGCAACATGATGGGACTTTGAGTAGGACTTTGACTACTGGCACCATCCTGAAACTCAGACCTAGTGTCTGCAGGTTTCTTCAGGATTCTGCATTTGGTTTAGGATCAGACTCTTTCTGGTTTCTCTTCAAGAGCCAGCTGACACTTAGCTCCAGGTTCATGAGTTTTAGCCTCTTGAGGTGCTCATAAGAGAGGTGACTGCAAGATATTCCCATGCCAATGCCTGCCAGAAAATTGATTTAGATTTTTGGTTAAACAGAAAAGAATGGGACAGTATAGTTCTTCATTTGAAAACAAAAACAGAGGGCCAGCTGGAAGTATAGTGGTTAAGGGAGCTGGAACCCACATAGCAACTAGTTAGAGTCCTGGGCCTGGTGGCTTGAAAAACACACCAGGTACATGTGCGTGCATGCCCAAAATCCTGAGAGGAGAATGGAGGAGATGCGAGTGTGGACTGGCCATTCCCCCTGGGAGGTGGTTGGTCTCTATTTCTCTCTTCTCTCTTTTTCTCTGGCAAGTACATGTGCCCTGTAGAAAAACAAAAACCAAAATCCCTTCTATTTAAATATATTCAGTGGGCCGACAGGTGGCGTGGTGGTTGAGGCACCAGACTCCCACATGGCCAACTGTAGTTTGCATCTCGGACCTGGCAGTTTGCTTTCCTTCTCTCTCTGTGTGTGTCTCTTTTTCTCTGGTCAAAATGTTTAAATAATAATTAATTAATTAATTAATTTATTATTATTTTAAATATATATATACTTGTCTTTAGATCATTATTGAGACAATATGTAAATCCACATTTATCATCTATTCTTCTTAATGATCAGCAAACAGTGAATTTAACTTTTATCAAATTCTTAAGTTTTACCTTCCTGCAATCCAGAGAAGGCCAAGAAATGCAAAGTGATTCCTAAATTTGTTCTGTATCTTCTTCAGCTACACTAGAAGAACCCATGTACAATTTAAGCTAGACTGACAAAAAGGGCTCCAAGTCCAATATCATTCCCATCTCCTCTCCCAATTTTTGGTTTAAGGTTACATCTTCCTATTTCAGAGAGAGCTTTGCAAGTGTTTGGAAATGAATGACATTTGTTTTATCTGATTGTTCTACCCTATGATACTACATTTAATAAAAGGCATTTTAGGAGAAAAGGACCCAGCCTGCTGTTAGTTTCAAATAAATCAGAGGAAACAGAGAAAATTTGTATTCTTTGTAGAGCATTTACTTCAGAAAACACACTCACGGGGCTTTAATACTCTGGACACACATGGTTTGATATAAAGCAAGCAACAGTAGATTTTAAGCTGAAAAGCAGACTTTGAGATGAAGCAGATACATTTCTTAGAAGGTTCTATCACAAGCTCTTGATACCCGTCCTGCCTGAAGTCAGCTCCTGAAGGTAGTCAGAGATGGAGGGAGAGGCAGTTCATTCGGTCCTCTCTAGGGTCTGAAACAACATGAACAGCACTGAACCACATGCCGTGTCTTCTCAGAGATGTTGCTACAGAACTGTCCTTTGGAAGGTTGTACAGTTAGACTTGCTTTCTTTTTTCTTCCACTTTTTAAAAGAATTATTTACATTTATTTATTTGTTTGTTTGTTTGTTTTAATTAGTTATAGGGCACGCATGCTCACTAGAGAGACAGAAAAGGAAAGGGAAAAAACAAGATCCGGGACTTGAACCATGGCCAGCCATGTGAGAGTCCAGCACCAGGCCACCCGCTGGCCACTTGCTTTCTTATGGAGCTGATCCATCCACACATTCTTGCCTGGATGCCAATGGCATCCAGTGTCTCTTAGTCAAGAGCTACTAGAAAGCAGTGTGAAGCTTTGGAGAGAAGCAGAGTCAATGGGGCAATCTAGAAAGCAAACAGGAACCTGCTTACCCCATCTGAACTGACTAGTTGTGATTTAGGGGATTGTGGTGGCCTCAGGAAATACCTTTACCTTCCATGAAAAAACATACTGGAAAAGGGGGAGGCACAGCAGGTGGCATGGTGGTGAGGCACTGGACTTCCCACATTCTTACTTTCCCTCTCTGTCTCTGTCTCTGTCTCTCTCTCTTTCTGGTGAACACATGTAATTATTTAAAAAAATAAAAATAAAAAAGTAGGAGAATTATGGAAACACTGTGAAGTATTAAATGTCACCTTTAGCCCTTGGCCTTAAAAGGTCAATGGACTGTTTCAAGATACCAACCTAACTTATTTCTGGGAAAATATATACACCATACACTGGAAACAGCATCCAGTATCTCTCTGTAGGAATGGGTCCACAGAGGTTTAGTAATAACCAAAGTGAAGGTATCCAATAATTTTCTCATTTTTAAAAATGTTTTGAATAATTTAGACCTGACAACAGAATGTAATGTAACTTGAGGGAAAAGGATTTGTATTTACCGTGAACTTTCTCTCTCCAGTAACTTTTTTTCTTATGCTTTAATTTGAAAAATTCCTTTGTAGAAGCATAATAGCAAAGGTCTGCTATTTGTGATCAGATTAGATATGTAAATGAGATGGTAGCGTTTTCTTCTGGTTTAGCGTTTATTTGCAACAAAGCCGAAGAATAGATTTCAGCACTTGTTGGGACACAAATTTTTCAAGAGCAGCAAAATTTGAAATATTTAGATGGTTCTCGCCCACAGTTGTCATGCTAATTTAAATAACCAAGCTTCGCTTTCTTAATTGCATGTTCCTGTAATAGAAATACAACACACAAGTTGGACTGAAAGGAACACAGCTTTCTGGCGGCCAGAAACAAAGACTAGCTATTGCAAGGGCTCTTCTCCGAAGACCGAAGATTTTAGTACTGGATGAGGCCACGTCCGCCCTTGATAATGAGAGTGAAAAGGTAAGATCTTCGTAGATGTGTAAAAGAGTCCTCTACACTGCCACGTCAGAACCCACTAATTTTTCCGCCTTCTACACAGTTATCAGCTTGGTTTGAAAAAAGAAACAAGGAGGCAGAGGACATATGGCGGTATACCTACATGGCAGACTTCTTCAGAGGTCCCATTTTGCTATGTCCTTGTCTCCTAGTAGGTTCTCGCACATACTAGGCACTTATTTAGTAGATGAACATTGAATGAAATGAATGATAATAATATTTATCAAGTGTTTATTATGTGTTATTACCTCAATCCTCACAACACCTTGATAAATTAGCTTCTTTTATCAACACGCCCATTTTACAGATTAGCACCCTATAGGTTTAGAAGGTTAGACTTCCCTAAAAGAGGGTGTCAGACTTAAGAACCAAGGCAGTTAATCCAGTTACACATGATTGTTTTTGGTAATTTTTTTTTTTTTTTGGATAGGTTTATGCTATAGGGCACATGAGCTTGCCAGAAAGACAGAGAAAGACAGAGACAGAAAGCGCGAGATCACCCCCCTGGGGGGATGGCCCTTCTCCTCCATTCTCCTCTAGGGATCTCAGGCATGCACACACATGTGCCTGGTGTGTGTTTAAGCCACTAGGTCTAGGACTCGAACAACGGTAGACTACATGGGATTCCAGCGACATAGCCATTATGCCAACTGTTGGTCCCATTTTTTGTAAATAATTATCATTGATTCCCAAAGAGCCAGTATGTTACAAATAAATAAATAGAAAAACAATACATTACTTTTGAATCAAGACCTATCTGGGCTGTAATCCTGGATTCATCAATTACTAGCAGTGTGAGCTATACTCTTCAACCTTGGTTCACTTCTGGAAAAAACCTCCACCTTACAAGGCTATTAAAAGCATTAAAGTTTCATTGGAACTGTCTATAGAACAAATATTGGTTAACATTTCCACTCCCATTTCCTTTTGTGTTTGTTTGTTCATTTGCTATAGAGCATGTATGCTTGCTGGAGACAGAAAGGGCAAGTGAGAAATAGCACCCCCTGGGGTGGGGAAGATGGCCATGCCACAGTCCCTTCTCCATTCTCCTCTCAGAATTTTGGGCACACACACACACACATGTGCCCAGCACAACTCTCAAGCCACCAGGTCTGGGACTCAAACTCTGAAGCTGGCCGTTTGGAATCCAACCTCCTTAACCTCCGGGCTATCTGCCCTTCATTCTCATTTCCTTTATATAAGAGGTTAAAATACATCTTGTTAGCTGAGATTCTATTTTAGTCAAGACAGTTCTTTTTTTTGAGAGAGAGAGAGAGAATTTTCCCATAGGGCATGTGAGCATGTGCACTCGCTGGACAGACCTAGAGAGACAGAGAGACAGAAAACAAGAGATCACCTCCCAGGAGGGATGGCTGTGCCACAGTCCCTTCTCCATTCACCTCTCGGGATCTTGGGCACACACGCACATGGCATGAGTTTAAACCACCAGGTCTGGGACACTCAAAACTGCGGTCGTCTATGTAGGAGTCCATTATGCAATCTATTGGTCCCTAGTCAAGACAGTTCTGCAGTTAAGTCCTACCAAAAAAGTATATGAGAAGATATTAGGTAAGTAAATTAAACAATTCTATGTAGGTGTGGAGATACTACTTACTGGCTTTGAATTTATAACCATTTATTTACATACAGATAGCCACTTCACTTTTATTCATTGTCACAAATGCTTTTCCAACTGAATGTCTTCCTTAATGGATCTATAATGATTTTTCCTAGATTTCTGTTGAACAGTGCGTATTTCACAAGTAGGGCCATTCTTTGACGGATCAGCAAATAAAGCAAAGAAGGTTATTGGATTACCATAATTGATTTGATTTAGGAAAGTTAATTAGCATCTGACCCAAAATGGCCATCATGGGTCCTTTTCTCTTCCAGGTGGTTCAACATGCCCTTGATAGAGCCAGAAGAGAGAGGACGTGCCTATTGGTCACTCACAAACTCTCCACAATACAGAATGCCGATTTGATAGTGGTTCTGCACAATGGAAAAATAAGGGAACAGGGAACACATCAAGAACTCCTAAGAAATCGAGACATATACTTTAAATTAGTAAACGCACAGTCAGTACAGTGATGCTGTTGAGTTAGCACATATTTTGATTTTTGTGTAATGCCAGGAAAGAGTACTTAGTAATTACTTGGCATGCTTTCATCTCTTTTATTGCTTATATCAATACCTAAAATCATGCTCCTCAACTACAGGCATGTTCTGTTCACACACCATCTTCCCTTCAGATTTTTAAAAGGAAAAAAATGTTAAATTCATGTGAATGAGATAATGCTTGTATTCTTCATTTTATAAAACTGATCTAGCACATATGTTTGTAAAGCAGTTTTCTGTAAAGTAAATCCATTCTCCCATCAACTTCTGCTATAAAATTGGAACCATGTTCCCAGGGGAAAAATTATCCAGTTAAATAAATTGAAAGGCTTTAACAAAGAGAGATTAAGATGTGCTTGGGCCTGTGGCATTGCATGGGAGTGTCTTTAAATTGGAACTTTGAAAGTTGTGTAGTACCTTTTTCTCCAGAACATAGAAATTTATCATATCTCTCTTAATAAATATCCACAATTGAGGTCCAGCAGGTGGCACTGTGGTTAAAGCACTGGACTCCCACATGACTGACTGTGGTTAGAGTCTCAGACCCAGAGCTTGAAACTCACATTGGATGTGGCATACGTGCGTGTGTGTGTGTGTGTGTGTGTGTGTGTGTGTGTGTCCAAATCCCAAGAGGAGAATGGAAGAGAAGGGATTGCATATCTCTCCAGTGCATACACCCTATGGAAAAAAAAAAAGATTTTCTAAAATTTTATTGTATCCCTTTTAGGGGGAATAAGGAAGGTCAATATATATTCTAGGAAAGGAAATATACTAGGTCATTGGGAAATTCATGATGTATTTTTCTTTGTTTTTCTATGTAAAAATGCATCATGACTTTTCTGACAACCTAACGAAATGTCAGGGCCAGCAGGTGGCGTGGTAGTGAAGGCACTGGACTCTCATAGGGCCAACTGCGGTTTAAGTTCTGGACCTGGCAGCTTGCTTTCTCACTTTCCCTCTGTCTCTTTCTGGCAAATTAAAATAATAATAATAATAATAATTTAATTAAATAAACATTTTTGAAGGAATTTTTATTTTGCTATAGGGTTCATTCTCTGGAGAGATAGAGACAGAAAGCAAGAAATCACACCACAGGGAGGAGGGCCATGCCACAGTCCCTTCTCCTCCACCCTCCCCTCGGGATTTTGGGCATGTATGCACACGCCCAGCATGAGTTTTAAGCTGCTGGGTCTGGGAATGGAACCGTGGTCGACTTTGTGGAAGTCCAGCTACATAACCATTATGCCATCTGCTGCTCCCTAAATACTTTTTTTTAAAAAGGATGTAAAATGTCTGGCAGAATTAGGTAGCTATCTTCTGTGTCACCATTAAGTGCTTCATATGATCCTTTCTGAAAATTTCATTATTCCAGGTTTTGGGTTTATATGGATTTGTGTATAAACACTATTTACTTAAAATAATAGCTATTTCTATTGTGAATAAAAAATTAAAATGTCTTTTTTATTATTATCTAATCAAATTGTATGTTTACATTTTGTATATTCTTTATCATATGTATGTATGATTTAAAAATTCTAGGACAACCAGAATTAAATAAAATTAAATAAATAGTGGCTAAGGCAGCTGGGTTCTACATGGCTGACTGCATGATTTGATTCCTGGACCCAACACCTTGAAAAACATTCTGGCCTGGGACCAGCAGTTGGCGTAATGGCTGTGTCGCTGGACTCCCATGTAGTCGACCTCGGTTTGAGTCCTGGACCCGGTGGCTTAAACTCACGCCGGGTGCATGTGCGTGCGAGCCCACGATCCTGAGAAGAGAATGGAGAAGGGATTACAGCATGGCCATCCCCCCCTGGGGGGTGATTTCTCGCTTTCTGTCTCCTGTCTCTCTCTGTCGTTCTGGCGAGTGCACATGCCCTATAGCAAAAACCTCTCTAAAAGAAAATAATAAAAAGAAAAACATTCTGGGCACATGTGCATGCATGCCCAAAATCTTAAAAGGAGAAATGGAGGAAGGACTGCAGTGTGACTATTTTTCATGAGGGAGGCTTTCTTGCTTTCCCTCTCTCTTTCTCTCTCTTTTTTTTCTCTCTCTCCAGCAAGCACATGTACCCTGTGACACGCGCCCTATAGCAAAACCTCTCCAAAAAAAAAAGTTTAAAATTACTGTACTGTTCTTTTTTTAAAAAAATTATTTATATATATAAATGTGTGTGTGTGTGTGTGTGTGTGTGTGTGTGTGTATAATTTTTTTTTTCAATTTGACCAGATTGAAAGAGAAAGTGAGAAAGCAGAGAAAGCAAGCCACCAAGTCTGGGACTTAAACCACAATCAGATCAGCCATGTGGGAGTCCAGTGCCCCAACACCACACCACCTACAGGCCCCTGATGTACTGTTTTTAAAGTTGTTTGCAAAAAATATCTTTTGCATCAAAACAATAATTTTAATGGAATCATTTTCTCCCACAGTTATTCCAATCAACCATGGAATTACTTATTTCAAAGAGCTCAAAATTTTAGGAATTCTTACAATAGTTATTTTTAAAGTAACAATTATTCGTGCACATCTTATTCGTTTTATAAGTCTGAACTTTTAAATTCTTGAACTTTTTCTTAAATAGGGTGTTCTATAGCCAAAAAAGAAGATAAATTAGGAATTGATATTCTTATCTAAAAAGAAAGAAATGAAATGGTACTTTAGCAGATTTAAATCTAGGTTTTTAAGTTTTAAATCATTCACATTCTTTTACATTAATTACTAAATAAGAATATATTTAAAGTTTATAGCTCACAACTTGGTATTTACCAAAGAGCTGTAAGATTATTCAGGTCGCCTTAGACCTTTTAGTGCCTTAGACTTAGTAGACAGTAAGTATCAGTTTGTTCGGTTCGAAAACACAAAAATCATGGCAGATAATATGCATTATGGGTACCAAGATAAGGAACCTACATTTACAGGGGAAAAAATGATCCTATGGGCTACACTTCTTTCGTTTCAGCTTTCAGGATTATCCTCTCTTTGTCATGGGTATTATCAGCATTGGATACTTTATTTTTAATTTACCTATTAGGTAGTTTACTTCAATTTAAGTCCATTAAAAAAAGCTTTTTCTTTCCATTCATATGGCAATTTTAATTTTAGTTCAATTAATTTTTTCTTTTAGTTCATTTTAGCCATTTTTTTTAAAAAAAGAAAAGTCGTTTAATAAATTGACATGAAAGTACACTCCCAAGAGGTAGGAGTGGGCCTGAGCATACAGAGAAAGAATGGCTCAAAAAGGCCCCAGCAAGTACTTTCTGCAAGATTTATCATTTTTTCATCTCTGACATGTTGGTTGATCATTGGCTGGGCCCATTGATTCTTCTCTTCTCATTGGCTGTATCAAATGTGGCTGGGCCCACTGTCCCATCTCATTGGCTATATCAAATGTGGCTTCATCAGCTAGTCATCCCCCACTAGAAAACTTCTGCCTGCATCACTGTGGGTGGGGAATTTTCTGCTCTGATCTAGCCACATAGGCAGATCCTCCTGCCCCCTTTCTTGCTTCCATTTCACAGCTTTCATCTGCCTCGTTTTTCCCGAGAGGGATTATCCCCATAAAACTGTTTTTAAAAAGAATTAGTTTATTTCATTTTATTTATTTATTTTAATTTGACCAGAGAGGGACAAAGTGAGAGAGAGATGGGGAAAGTAAGAAAGCAAACCACCAAGTATAGGACTCAAACCACAGTCAGCCATATGGGAGTCCAACACCCTTAACCCCAACACCATTTGCCAGCCTGATCCCCATAAACCTTTTGGGGGAGTTGAAGGTTGGGTGGTCCGTCTTCTATAACTGTTTCATGCTGGAAAGGGGCATTGGCCCTACCTATCAGGGATCATGGAACTTTTGCCCTATGTGATCTAGGTGGGAAAGCGGGGCCAGGGGTAAGACAGTGAGGTAGTCCTGAGGTGTGTCATGGAGAGGGCTGTCGTCGGTGTTGGACCACTCACAGCAGCAAGATTCAGCGGAGGTATCAAGATGTTGATATCCCTGGGAACCAGCAGTTAGTGTAATGGCTATGTCGCTAGACTCCCACGTAGTCAACCGCGGTTCGCGTCCCAGACCCGGTGGCTTAGACCTCATGCCGGGTGCAGGTGCGTGTGTGCCCAAGATCCCGAGAGGAGAATGGAGGAGAAGGGATTGCGGCGTGACCATCCCCACTGGGGGGTGATTTCTCGCTTTCTGTCTCTATGTCTCTCTCTGTCTGTCTGGCGAGCGCACGCGCCCTATAGCGAAAACCTCTCCAAAAAAAAAAAAGATGTTGATATCCCTGTTGTTCGATCATTTGCAATTTTCTAGACTAGGATTTTCAAGTTTTTCAGCAGGGACAGATGCTGGAAAACTTAGCTATGGGACTGGAGTAAAGTCTTCACTATGGGATTGGAGTTGGCTAAAGCAGCTGACTACTGGCCTGGCTGGCCACAATACATGTTGCAAGATGGCTTCTGTGATGAAATTCAGGTTCTTGGTGTTTTGGACAAAGAACTGAACAAAACACGCCAGAGAAAAAAAAAAAAAAAAAAAAAAAAGGTAGTTTATTAAGTAGAAGCAAAAGTACACTCCTGAGAGGTGGGAACAGGCCTGAACAGACAGAGAGAAAGTAGCACTAAAAGTCTAATTTTTAGCCTTTCATCACAGTGCAGAAGTTAATGTTATGTATTTGACTTTGAATAAATTGGTATGGGTGCCAGCAGGTGGCATAGTGGTTAAGACGCTGAATTCCTACATTGTGGACCACAGTTCAAGTCCCAGACCTGGTGGCTCGAGAATCATGCCAGGTGCATATGCATGAGTACCCAGAGTCCTAGGAGGATTATGAAAGAGAGAGGATGCAGCATGGCCATCCCCTCTGGGGGGATGACTTCTCACTTTCACTCTCACTGTCTTTCCCTGTGTCTCTCTGGGGAGCTCACACTCTACGGCCAAAATCTTAAAGAAATAAAAAGAATAATTTGGTATGAGCACACGTTGCCTAATTTCCTTTAGATCTTTGTGGGCCTAATTTTCCGTAAGGTTGTTATCTACATAAGACCTATCTCCTAGTCTCAAGGACTTCCAGTATAAAAACCCAGTATGGGTTTCTGACAGCCATACAACATTCAGATTCACTTATTCAGATTAACCTCAATCCAAACTTTTCTGAGCATCCTTGTCCTTTGCTTCTCTTCTTCTGTGCTTGGATACAGTTATAAAACACGGGATGGGAGGAACAGCAGTTGGTGTAATGGTTATGTCATTGAACTCCCATGTAGTCGACTGTGGTTCAAGTCCTGGACCTAGTGGCTTAAACTCATGCCGGGCACATGTGCATACGTCCCCAAGATCCTAAGAGGAGAATGGAGAAGGGATTGTGGCGTGGCCATCCCCTGTAGGGGGGTGATTTCTCATTTTCTGTCTCTGTCTCTCTCTGTCTTTCCGGCGAGCACACGCGCCCTATAGCAAAAACCTCTCAAAAAAGGGG